AAAGACCTTTGACCTCTATTTTCTGACAGGAAGAGGAAGAGAAGAGATTCACCTGAGCAGGTACGGTGATGACATCACCAACAGGTTTAACAGACTTTATCTGCTTTCACTGTTTATGGTGAGTCCAGTTGCGTTCAGGCAATATAGAACCAATGGTTGTGAAAGAAGAAGGTTCTGGACTAATGTGGATCTAGTTAGATTTTTTTTTGTCCTGAATCATTTCTACATAAAAACATAAAACCTGATCCTTTATTTTGTTTTTAATGTTTGTTGAATTCAGATTTTACTTGTTTATGTATTTATCAACGTTGGACTTTCTGTTCATATATTTCAAAGTTCTGCAGGAACCCTGAGAGACCATCAGCAAGAACCAGCAGTCCTCCCGAGTCCAGTCGGGCCCGATCCAGGTCACCAGATGAGAACCAAGTTAGTTGTGGTCATTTTTCGAGGTGGACTTGTTACCTTGGTTGTGACTCTCGGGTGCAGGAGTCATGTGACCCTGTTGTCAGTGGCGGGGTGTCAAAAACTGGAGCCACATCTCTGTCCTGTGGTAACGTCATCACCAGCTCCCGCCCACTACTTCCTGTTTCCTCCCTGTTTGAGACTAAAGATGATTTCAGCTTTGACAATGACGAGTTTTAATTAGAAAATTTAACCCTAACAATTTAACGGTGTTAAATCTACAAACATTTGTCTGTTTCTTTACTGTTGTTGTTTGATCACTAAAAATATTTAATTCAAAAATTATTAAAATCAGCTGACTTTTTGGTTTATTTATTTATAAACTGATCAAAAAAATCCTGACGTTCAGTTCTTCATGTTTTTATTGTAGAGATTAACACAAACCAAACACTAATCAATGAGTTTGAGTATTGATTAACAAGTTAAAGTATTGACTAACAGTAATCATCTGACAGATAATCTTATGTTACAGAATAAATGATTTCTGGTTATGGCATTGGTTAAGAACAGGTGATGTCAGTGATCACATCACAATGTTGGCACCATCATGGCTGAGGTGGGCGGGGCTGCTTGGCGTACTGGATGGCGTCGAGCGCAGCTCCGATGTCGAAGTTTTTGGCCTGAAGGAGTCGAGTCAACCATCCCCCCTCATCAGTGAAGCCCATGGACAACATGAGGGACAGTGATTCGATCAGACGGGGGTCTGCCTCTGCTGAAGGAGGGGTCAGAGGTCAGCAGGGTCATAATGACGAATCAGACACTGGAGCAGAAGGTGGTCTCACCTTGAGGCAGGTGAGGATACAGAGCGGCCTCCCTCAGACCTGTTGGACCCTGCTGTCCTCCTGAAGAGGGATCCTGGTCCTCAGGCTGCAGGGACTGAAGTTCTCCAGTTGAGGGGTCGACTTCTCTGGGGCTCAGGTGTGTCCATTCCTCATCAGAGTCTCTGCTCACCTGAAAACCACAGTCACTTCAATGTCTGGGTCTGAACTAAACCCTAACCCTCTGACCTGGGTCAGATTCAGGCTTGGTTAGGGGTTAGGTTAACTTTGTCGCATGTTTCCGCCTTGTTAAAGAACCCTTTAAATATACAGGTAAATATTTACCTTAGCAAGGGAGCTTATGTTTTCATGTACATTTGTTTGTCAGCAGAATGAATAGATTTCCAGTAAACATGATGTTTGACAGGTCAGAAAGGAACTCTGGAATTGTTTTAATCTCTTTCTTCAACATTGTGAGATAAAACATTTTATAGGAGTATTTTTTTTTTTAAAGATTTTTTTCAAGAGATGATTCAGGAATACTGATGGACACAATATTTGGTGCGGATCCTGGTCTGGATTTTTCTGATAAAGTGATTAATCAGCCAAACAAAATGTGGTCTTAGAATCCTTGTTTTTAATTATAACATAATTAATTGAACAATTTATTGATGAATTTTCTGTTATTGATTAATCAGCAGATGGAGTCAGGGTCAATATGTCTGAACCCGACTCAAAGCTCAGCTGTTTCTGAAGAACTGACCTTTGACCTCTCGCTCCCACCTCCGTCCATCTCTACGTCACCCCAACCACCTGAAGTGTTCACCTTTGACCTCTGACCCTCATGCTCCACGTCGATGTCCACGTCGATACCTGACATCACACATGACATCACTTCCTGTTTAAGGGCATTCATAGGTCATTTTAGGCCTTCAACTGTGCTTTTACTTTGAAAGACCATCACTTCCTGAGTGAACCAATCAGAAATCTTTATTCTTAAGTATGAATGAGGACATCACTCACCCAGCGGGCTCAACATGGCTGCCACTCCTTCCCCAATGTTCTTCAGGAAGTCCACGCTGGCCTGAGAAGCTTCAGACAGAGGTCAGAGGTCATAAAAGGTCACAATGATCATATCGATCATAAATACTGATTAAATCACTGGTTCTGACACTGACCACTGTCAGAAGGTTGATCCTGGGTCTGGTTCTGATCCTGGGTCTGGTCCTGGTTTTGACCTTGGGCCTGGCCCTGGTTCTGGTCCTGGCTCTGGTCCTGGGTCTGGTCTTGACCCTGGGTCTGGTTCCACATGCATCTAAACCTCTTCATATTATGACATTTATTTAACATTCCCCGAGGAAGCCAATGCTGAGAGACAGAGAAAGAACAGTTCACACACACATCCACATTAAATAGAATCAACAATGAAAAAACAGATGAGAAAGAATTGTTTCGCTGTAAAGAAATAATTATGATTAATAATCAATAATTATTACTCAAGTGTTCATGCTGTGATTGACAGCTGATCTAATGTCCCATGATGCACCTCACCTGTAGCGGGTGCCAGATGGGCAGCAGAGCGTGCTCGGTGTGTGTCCCTTTGGCCTGGCAGGTGGAACAAAGGTCGTAGTTTGGACAAACCGAACACTTGAAGCGAGTTCCCACCACGGGACCGTCGCAGCCGTCGCAGGTGACGTTAGGGTGCAGGGCGGGGGGCGGGGGCAGGTGAAAGGGTGGAGCATGGGGGGGAGGAGGGGGGGCAAAGGTGAAAGGGGGGAAGGCGTGGAGAGGAAAGTCTCGACGGTGCTCCTTTTTCTCTAAAAAAAAATTAAATAAAAACTATTAAAACATAGAGACGCTGCCAATTTAAATTGACATCATAATTTAAAACTATTATTGGTTGTTAAGATTATAGATGATTGATATCTGATCAATATATATATATATAAACCACAGGACTTCACGTACACTCGTGGTGTAAACAGTAAATAGGTGAGTTTCGGGTGAGTAGATCACATCAATCGAGTAAAAGTTATTTGTATAGCTCATATTCACAAATCACAATTTTTTTCTCATAGAACTTAAACAACTTCTGTTCTCAATCTTCAACAAGATGAAAGTACCTTTGATGAAGAGGCGGAAGGTGTTGTCCTTCATACAGGACAAACCCATCATCAGTTCATCATCAGAGGAAAACGCCACCAGGTCTCCATCTTCATCTGAAATGTTCATCATCATCATGTATCATTAACAGTACAAATA